ACCAGATATTTTTACAGCTCAAACAAGCCCTTAACCATGCGTGTGTGTGTGTGTGTATGTGTGTGTGCGTTTAGGGCTAGTTCAACTTAATTGCCTGCACGATGTTTGTCTTTCGTTTTATGATTCTGCAGCATGCGAGTATTTTTAATGAATTGCCAGCCACAGTCGGAGCTGCAGCTGCAGCTGCAGCTGGAGCTGGAGCTGGAGTCAAGGCCCCAGACAATTGGGCAATATGCAAAAAATTTGTTGAGATTTTTGCCAGGCGCAAGCGACCATTATTTATGCATGACAATTCCAGGATGTCCTGGATGCAGGGCATGCGACGAATGACGAGCGCTCTTAGGGTTCAGGTATCGGCCATCAATAATGCAGTTACGACTCTCAGGAAATTGTAAAATGAAATTGAAAATAATTTGGCCAGAGCAAGTGCAGCAATGCATAATGCATAAGAAATTTCCATGCCTAGGCACAGCAGCTGGGCCAAAGTAAAGCACAGTCAACAATCATTTCGCAATATGAAATTAATCTTAACTTTAAAGAAAATTCAATGTAAAAGGGGAGAGCTTCGAGCCAGCGTCCTTCCCGAATGGGCCACATTTTCTGTAAGCTTTGCTAGCTTATTAAAGCTCGAAGTGAAATTAGGTATAAAGAGCCAAGCATTGCTTTACGCATAAAGCTCATAGCTCGAAAGCTCAGCTGGGGAAATATTAAATTAATCTTTACTAAACGAAAATTCAATGTAAAAGAGGAGAGTTTCGAACCAGCATCCTTCTCGCTTATTGTCCGAATGGTTCTCGTTTTCTGTATGCTTTGCAAGCTCGATAAAGCTCGAAGTTAAATTAAGTGTAAACTACAAAAGCTCGAAAGCTCAGCTTGAGGCTGTCAGCTAGTGTCATTGCAGCACAATCGCCGCATTCTTCAAGCGCAGCCCGAATGTGTCAACTTTTCTACAAGATTTGCAAGCTCATTAAAGCTCGAATTGAAATTAGGTATAATGAGCCCAGTTTTACTTAATATGCTGTTGCTTGGGGCAATATGAAATCAATCTTATATTATTCCTATTGCCCGAATGGTTCTCGTTTTCTGCAAGCTTTGCGAGCTCATTAAAGGTTAAAGTGATATTAAGTATAAAGAGCCCAGCTTTACTTTATGTATAAAGTTCAAAGCTTTCCAAGCTCAGCTTGAGGCTGTCAGCTAGTGTCATTGCAGCACAACCGCCACGTCCATCAGGCAGCGAGCGCCGGGCAAAAGGGTAAAGACTATGAGGACGTCGCTTCAACTGTGTAAATGAGTTAACCGCAAAATGTCAGTGCTCCCCTCTGCTTGGCAGTTACCGCCTAAGAGCCACAAACACGCACAGCAAACGGGCGGCAATTTGTGGGCAAGCGAGGGGCGTGAGAAGTGGGGAATCTGTGGGGGGAGGGAGTGCAAATAAAATCAATCAATTTGTAGGGCAGCGTCTAAGTGCACAGTGACACTGAAATCTATTTACCAGAGTGTTGAGAAAAGTTCACAGAGATGGAGAAAGTGACAGAGAAGCGAGAGAGGGAGAGAGAAAGAGAGAAGAGCGAGAGCAAGAGAAGAGCGAGAGAATACGCCTTAATAAGTTGTATGTGGTTGGAGGTTGAAATTAGGGGACACATTTAGTGTATTGGTGTGACTGTGTGTGTGTGTATGAGTGGGTGAGTGTGTGTAATTAATAAACACAACTTACCCCAACAACAACAATAACAACAGGAGCCGTCAGCTAAGGCGACACAGCTCAAGTGTCGATTGATTTAGCAGCTGAGTTTCGGGCGTTCAATTTTTGGACATATTCTGGAGAAGCGATTCCCGATCTAACGAGTATTTCGGGAAATTGTGAAAACCGCGGGGAAAATTTCGAAGCGGGCAAACATAAAAATCAATCAACACGCGCGCTCAATAGCCGAAGAGGCGGCGGCTCATCAAATGTATCTGCCAGATACGTTTCGAGTGCTTCTAGCTGTATCTGTATCTATAGCTGTATCTGTATCTAGGTCTATGCTGTATCTGTATCTGTATCTATAGCTCTAGCTGTATCCATATCTGTATCTGTATCTGTATCTTTATCTGTTTGGGTATCTGTATCTGTATCGGTATCTGTGTCTTCTAAGAATATCTCTATCTGCATCTGTATCTATAGCTCTAGCTGTATCTGTATCGGTATCTGTGTCTTCTCAGAGCATCTCTATCTGCATCTGTATCTATAGCTCTAGCTGTATCCATATCTGTATCTGTATCTTTATCTGTATCTGTATCTGTATCTATATATCTAGCTGTATCTGTATTGGTATCTGTGTCTTCTCAGAGTATCTCTATCTGCATCTGTATCTATAGCTCTAGCTGTATCCATATCTGTATCTGTATCAGTATCTATGGATCTAGCTATATCTGTATCTGTATCTGTGTCTTTTAATAGTATCTCTATCTGTATCTGTATCTATAGCTCTAACTGTAGCTGTAGCTATAGCTGTATCTGTGTATCTGCTCGCATCTGTATCTCTATCTGTATCTGTAGCTGTGTATCTGCTCGCAGATGTATATTGAGCGCTTGCCAAAGACAAATTGCCTTTGTCTCTAATTTTAAAGACAACACTCGTCGTCGCCTGCCTTCGTTTTAGTTTAATTTGTCTTTGCCGTGGGAGTCGAAAAGTTTCACACGGTTTTTTTTTTCGTAATGTGTATTATGTCTGGCTTTTTCTTTGGGCCAATTGATTGGCGCACGTTTTGCGCGTGGCCAGACGAGCCAAATAGGAGTAGAAAAAGTTTTTGCTTTTCCTTGTTTTTTATGGATGAAGGAGACAAGCACAACACAAGAAACGCAGCATTTTAATGCTCTGGCATAATGTTTATTTGAAATGCGACTAACCTTACATAAAGTATATGAAGTATTTAAGAATAATAAGGATAAGCCGAGCTGATATTCAAGTATGTCTGTCCGTCCGTCCGTCAGTCAGTTATAATGGAAACTAGTATCTCAATCTCCATCTAGATTCAACATGGCTTGGATTCAGAGTATGCCGGATCGAACTACTATATCATATAGTCGCTATGGAACGTTTTAAGAACATCTGCGATTTGTCTGCCAGGGTATTTAAGCTTCGGCAGCTAAATGTTCGCTCTTATTATTTGTTTTCACATTTAAATATTTCATTTTTTCTCACTTATTTTTTGGGCTGCTCATCTGCGCTTCAATTTTTATTGAGGCTCTGCTATTGTTGTTGTTGTTGTCGGTTGTTGTTGGCCTCAACAGCACTTTGTGGGTGCTTAAAACAGCTGACAGGCCCCACTGACAGATTGATGAATGTTGCCTTTGCCTCTGCTTTTGCTTTTGCTTCTGCTTCTGCTTTTTGCCTGGCCCTGTTATTTCAGCCCTCGCGCATTCAGCATTTACTTGTGGATATTTTCTTTTTATTTTAACAGCATTTTCACTTTCGATTTTAATGAAAATATTTTGAAAATGCGCTATTTTCATTTGTGCGACGGCCTCTGGGCCAAGATTTATGGCACCAACACCCGCAGATATTGACTCCTTGGTGGGGTAGGAGAGGGGGGGAGGGAGGGAGGGGGCGTATGAGAGAAGTGAATGTTGGCCCGGTTCGATCGGGAGGTTAATTTGTTGGCAGCTAATGGCTGGCGAGCGTCCCAGATGCGTTAAATCGTTGACAATTGGGATCAATTTTGGATGGGACTAAAAAGATCTTGAGCTGCTTCTTCTTCTCACGCATTTTGGGGTATCCAATTAGCCACTTCGACATATGTCAAGGGCTTTGCCGCATGTGCAACTCAAGAGCATTAGGAAATACATGAGCGGGGGCGGAGCCCGAGAAGGTCAAGCTCATCTGGGAAACATGCTGAGTTAAGTGGAGTATTAAGCGAAACTCAACAGAGATTCGACCCTGAAAAGCTGGAAGAAGCTTAGCAAGAAACCAAGAAAGAAGCGGGTATAACACATTAATTGTTTTAGAAAGCGTATAAAAATAATGAGCATAAATAATAGCAGATCCGAAGCTAATCCTCAATGTATTGAAGAAAACTAAGAGAAGTTTTCAAAAGTGTGCTTGATAAGTTTAAATAAATCATTGATTGTGAATATCTAACTATTATTAACCAATTTGTAAATGTTTTTTCTGATTTCTTTTGTATTTCTTCATTATTTCAAATAAATAAAGAAACTAGTTTATCTATAGATAAACTCTCTTTTTGTCCTCTTCGACACCTTTTTGTGTGTTAATCTAATTGAAATCTGTGCTGGGCAGCATTTGCCTAATAGAGATCCAAAGATTTCTAGGTTAGCAATTAAAATGCAAATCAGATCAAACTTTTAATAGCTAAGCTATTGTTTTTTCTTCTTCTTCTCCTTTTTTATGCCCCAACATTGCTTTTGATCCAATGGAAAGGGAGATAAAAAATCAGAGAAGGGTTTAAAATTCTTGGCAAAATGCGTTGGAAAAAATGTGTAAATAATCGAGAAAAACTTGTGGAAAACCCACGCACAGAAACAACACGAGAGAAAGAAAAAAAACAAATACACAACTGGAAAATCTCGCGCGGAAAAATTGGACGCATTTGCTGACCCAAAAAGACAAATGACCGAAAAACAAAACAAAACAAGAATTAAAAAAAAAAAATAGAGAAACAAAAGGGACAACACTCGCGTTGGGGATACAGGGAATCTGTTTTCCGCGGCGGGGCGGGCAGGGGTGGAGGCCTGTGTTTATTTTAATGCAAATATTTGTTTATTTTTGAATGGCAACGCGATGGCATAATTTTTTTTTATTTTTTTTTGGGTACTCGCAAGGAATGTAAATTTCTAGGAAACTCTTTTTATAGCAGAGCCAATGTTTGTATTTGTTTGCACCCACATATTGCAGAGTATCCCCAAATTTAATGCCAAAACAAAAAACGTGTATATTTAATTTAGGTCTTTGCGTATTTGTTTTATGCTAATCTACAGATTTACAGGTGGACACACTTACTTGGAAATCCTTTATTTTGTTTTTGATTTTCTTGCTGTGGGGGCAACACTGCTTTTCAGCTTTACTCGTTCTTTCTCTTTCTTACTCTGTTTGGCTTTTGGCTTTGATTGGGCCGCAGCAGATCGCAGATAAATGAGCGATTTAAATGCTAATTAATTGTTTGGCACACACGCACAGCACACATGCACACGCGCACGCACGCACGCACGAGTGGGAGGGAGAGATAGAGAGAGAGAGAGATAATGGCGACACGATTAGACGTGAACGATTTTGTCCCGTTTTTAATCTCGGTTCAATTTATCAGGCAATGCGCTTCACTCGCTAACGCGGTCTTCTTCGTTTTGCTTTGGTTGCGTTTTTCCGATCGGCAGCATCTTTGATGAATATTTTCGAAATTCAAATTAAACCGTCAAACGGTCGCTCGCACGCACACACAGTTACACACACAACCGGCCACACTGGGACAGCATCACGATGGCACACGGGCCCGAAGCAGCTGCAGAGCCGAAACTGTAAATTTTTGGGTGGCGCTCAGAGCAGAAGCGGCGACTGGTACTGATAATACAGAGCGTTGCAGCGTCCGTGGCTGGCAGTCCGTTACAATGCGCGCGTCGTAAAAGACTGTTTCAGACTGAATCATACAAGTATAAGCAGAGGGCAGAGCAGCGCATGCAGCATACAACAGTCCGCACGAAGGCCGTTCGTGCATACGAAGCGCGAGAGCGATTGGACGAGGCGCGGACACGAGCGTGGCTTCGGGCAGTTGCAGCGCACGTTTATGCTGCAGACAACAACAACAGTCCAAGTCGCCGAACCGAATGCCGGGGCTAACGAAATCGTCGGCACACGAGCGCGATGGCTCCATCTAGCGGCAAAACGTGCGTACTGCTGTCTTATACGCTGTTATTGCTCACTTAATAGTGCTCTGAGCTAACAGCAGCATGTTCCATGGCCGGCAATGCAACTCACGCATGTTCGATGAGGGGCAGCACTAACAGCCGCTGTTAATGCCTTACAGCGAACGCTTTGACTAGGTCGATGTAATTAATCTTTGGTCCCGATGCAGCCACAGCAGCAGCCGCAGCCGCAGTAACAGTAGCTTGTTGCACACACACACACACACACACACACAGATGCATTTATCTAATGTGGCCATGTCAATGAAATTGAAGGATGGCTCTGTGTGCTAATATAATTGGAGCTGGACTAAGGGTCGCATAGTTGGGTGGTTTATTTAGAAGCTTTTGCCCTAATTCGTTTGTTCAACAAAATTCCATTCTCCAGCAGAAACATAGCTAATCATGGCTAATAGAACAAGTTATGCTTCGACTTAGACTCGGAAAAACTAAAAAAAATGTTTGCTTTTCCAACTATTTACTAAGTTTTCTCTATTCCTCTTGAAGAGCTGCTGAATCTTAAATGAGGCTTACAAATTGAGAATTTTCCCAAGTAATATATACATAATATAATATTCCATAACCACATCTCTGAGGTAGATTTTCTTTTATCATATTGACACCTATATCCATTGAAGCAAAACAAACGGAGAAACTCTTTCCTAATCCTCGGAAACAATTAACACTCAACGGGGCATGGCATCAATCAGTTCGGTTTCTGTGGTTTTTGCAGGCATTCACCTTTATTCATAAATCTCTGTCTCTCTCTCGCTTAACCACACTCTCTCTTTCTCTTTCCTTCTCGCTGTGTTTCTTTCGTTACGCATGTTGTGATTGGCGGCACGCCCGTAAAACAATTTGCCAGTCTCATAAAAACCCAGGCATAACAAATATAACACTTAATTGTATTAACAGGCAGCGGACAGAGCCCAAACGCAGGTCAGGAGCTACCGAATCGAAGCAGCAGAAGGACGGCTGTTTGCTTTAACAGTTAGGCCAGGCGGACGGAGGGACAGACGGTTAAACAAATAGCCCAAGACAATGCCCACGCAGACAACAATAGCCCCGCCCCGCCCCGCCCCGCAGGCCCAAGAAGCGTGTCGCCTCGAACTCAGACTCGAACTCAGACTGAGACTCGAACTCGGACTCAAAGTCGAAGTCGAAGTCGAGGTCGCATTGATTGATGATTTTATGACATTGTTTACTCAAGTGATGATGAGAAGAGCCAGCGACTCGTCCAGCAGCAGAGATAACAAGGATGAGTTTGGGGAGGAAGGACTTTGGAATGCGTGTGTCCTTCTGCCTGCTGGCTGGTGCCTGGTGTCGGGTGCCGGGTGTTTGCTGAGATTGCAGGCAGATCTTCGGCCGAGGCGCGGCCCTTTTGGCTTGTGTTTTTCCCTGGAATGCTATCAATCTTTTGCTTATTAGGGATAATATTACAATTACTTGTAAGTGAGATAAGCCAAGAGACAACAACAACAATAACAACAAAGAAGAAGGATAAGTGCGCTCAAGTGGGCTATGGCACGCCTTCGCTTTGACGCGCTGCTGCTTTGATGTGAGCACGGAGTACAATGAGTACACTGAGAGAAACAAGCAAGTACTTTTGTACTCAGATCAAAATACACAAGTATTCGAGATTTCTCTGTCTGAGAAGTAGTTTAAGTACTCAAATTGAGAGCAAAATTTATGGAAATCCTTAAGGTTTACAACCTTTCGTTCTTTCAGGAATTTCCTAGGATCCTTTTCTCCCAGTGCATCGGCGCTTTGTGTGCCGTTAACAGATAGTTTCTTCGACTGTACTTCAATCAAATCATGTTGAACTCTAATTTAAAACCTTTTAAGTACCCGAATTGAGAGCGAAATTTATGGAAAACCTTAAGATTTACATCCTTTCATTCTTTAAGGACTTCCCTAGGAGGTTTTTTTTTCCAGTGCATCGGCGCTTTGTGTGCTGTAAACAGATACTCGACTCAGTTACATTCGGCCGAGCCGCATCTGAGCGTGTCACGCGGATGCCCGCGGATTGATTGACAAATTGACAGGCCGTGGAGATTCTCGGGTGCGTGGTGCACCTTTCGCTGGAAGCGCCGCGCCTCGAAGTGACTCGCAACGGGAAACACTTCCTGCCCGACAACCCAACAACCCGACAACCTGTTTCAATTTAGTCATAAACTATTAACGCTGCCTGGAGACAGCAGAAAGCAGAAAGCAGCCCGCAGCTGAACGAGCCACAGTTAACCGCCAGGAAGCCAGCTGTTCCATGGCCTAAAGGTCTCTCCGTGTCCCCCTTTACCTCTGTCCCCCTTGTCTACGTGCCCCTTCTGTCCGTGTCCTTTGTGTCTGCTGTTTGATGATAAATTAGAGCTGGCCAATGCACTAAAAAACTTCAAAAACAGAAAAGCAACAACGACATGAGTAGAGCAGCACACACACACACACACACACACACACAGGTAGTCTTTGTGGCATTTACCTTTGCCAGCATTTACCTTTCTCCTTTTTTTATTGCTTTATTATGAGCTGGACTCGGGCCCGTTTTCTATGCTGGCCAAAAGGCTGACCGAAAGGCTCCTGCCACGCCCATTGTCAGCAATTCTTTTTATGCCTCTCATCTGGTTTATTGCTTGTTTGTTATTTGTTATTTGCTGCCAAATGTGCCGCACGCTTCATTCTCCTCCATTTTGAACCATCTGGCAACTCGTTTGTTTTGCAATTAGTTTGTTAATATTTCTATTAGTTATTCGAATAGAGTTAGATGATTGTTTAACCAAGTTATATAACAAAGAAGAACAAAGAAGTTCTGGGCCTAGAACTCAAGCTGGTTTATCGAGGAATCATTATCTTTGTCAAAGGCCACATAAGTCATAAGTTGACAACATTATAAATGTGTCGCATACTTATAAAAATTGTTTATATTATTTATACTAAATCGTACAGTAAAAATATCTTAATTAAATGCATAAATTCGCCTGGCAATCTTCTCAGTTGCTTAACATATTTTAATTGACAAAATTAACCATATCTATATTTAAATATTTAACTATATCTATATTTATTTATATCTTTCTTTAACTATATTATTGTATTTTATTTCAACATTATAAATGTATCGCAAACTTATGGAAATTTTTTATATTGTTTATGTCTAACATAAATATAATCATATAGTAAAAATATTTGGGAAGTTTCTCAACTTTTTAAGTAATTAAAATTGAAAAACTTTAGCTATATCTATATTGATTTATACCTATGAAACTATATATTTATTTATTCATATTCATATTTAACTATATAATTATACTTATTAAAATTGTTTTTATTGTTTATATCTAACATAAGCATAATCATATAGTATAAATATCTTATTTAAATGCATAAATTCGTTTGTGAAGTTTCTCAATTTTTTAACAAATTTCGATTGACAAGCTTTAACTATATCTATATTAAAATATATATAATATAACTATATCTATATTTATTTATTTATATCCATATATAACTATATTTTTGTATTTTATTTTACCATTTATACATTTTAGATTTGTATTTCTTATTTTAAGGCATAAAATCGCTTGCCAAGCTTCTCAATTTCTTAACAGATTAAACTTTATCTATATAACCATATCTATATTCATTTATATCTATATTTAACTATTAAATAGTATATTTGTATATTTTTAGATCTGTATTTTCTATATGTTGTATCCCATACATAAATTTTGACTAAAATCTTAACCCACCTTCAGATATTTCTTAGAAACTTCTAGAAAAGTCGGAACCTCTTTGGCTTTGTCGGTGCCTCGAGATGTTTGTTCCCGATAAGTGTGATATGGTCCGTCTACCGGTTGCTCGTAGCGCTGCAATTTCCCATAAACGGGCGTTACAAAATCAATTTGCATGCTTGCGAGGCTTTTGGCAAAACCCAAGTCACGGCCCAGGGCTTCGCATGCGGCCAAGCGAAACTGAGACCAGCTGCCCAGCTCCGGGAGGGGAGGAGTTGGGGGGAGTTGAGGGGCAGGGCCAACAGCCGATAAGCGCAAATTAGTGGCAAATTAAGCCATCAATTGCTGCAGCTGTTTATATTTTGGGGCACAGTCGCAGTCCCCGCCGCCCGCCCGCCTTCGCCCTCTCGCCGGGCAAAACCTCAACCGCATTTGACAGACGTGCACTCAACACTTTCGCCAGCTGACAGTTACACTAATAACGACCAGACCCCCCCCCACCCACCATGCTGCCCTGGCTCCCCTTCTTGCCACATGCCAAGGGCCTAAACAAACAGGGTCGAGTCCTGCCAGAGTCCTGCCGGAGTCCTGCCTGGCATACGCTTATCAGTTTTCAATCACATTTGAAACACATTGGTATTTGTGTGCCCATAAATCAACAGGGGAACCTTAATCCTCGGGATCGTGTTCGTCTACGGTTGCAGCGTCAAGGAGATACACACCAACACACACTCACACACACAGTCGCACACACAACAATCGCAAAGTCAGCTTCAAATAGATAAACATTGACAGCTTGACATATGTAGAATTCGCCTGGCATTGTGTTGAGAGAGGGGGGGGGGGGGGGGGGGGGAGCACTGCGCACCTTTTGCAGGGGGGCAACGTGTTTTAATTTTTATTTTGCGGCTGCCGCTTTGAGTGATAAGCGCGAGCTTTGACTGCGAATTGCTAAAGGACTAAAACAAATGGCTGCCAGCTCTCCCTTTCCTTTG